ACTTGGAACCAATCCACTAAGGCAAACAACCTGAAAACTTTCCAAACAGCCCCGACTGTTGTGGTTTCCTGGCATCTCTCAGGGCTTACAGCGCTTGCAGAGATCCTGGCGGAAGAGTTTCTTGTTAGCTATAATAGAAACTGACATTTACATATCTCCATTGTAATTCCCCCAGACTGGTGTAGCTCAAGTCTGCGATAAGTGAGTGGGGGGACAGGGTCTAGAAGGAAAACTGGCGTGGTGGAGGAACGTCTGGACGAGGAGGCCAGAGGATATATTGCAAGCTTCCAGATTGAAAAGTCATTGTCATAGTGCTTCATTAGCAACAGAGCAAAATAAGGAACATTTGAGGAGAAGATTGCTTCTGTAAATTGCCATTTTTTGCCAGAAAAGCACAGGTATAACTCCTTTCATTGCCTGTAAAGGAGAAGTAAGCAATTCCTTGTAGTTATGGGCTTTTTTCTTCCCCAGTCTGTTTGTTTCCTTGTTTTGTTTTTTCCTGAAGGCAAAACAAGCACCAAGAATACATTTTGAAAAGAAATAAGACTAAATGGAATTCTTTCTAAAATGTGTGCTCCACATGCTTCTCTGACCAAATAGTGTCCCAAGTAGGGTGAATCTGGCTATAGAGGACTCCAATGTCATTATTAGAGCAAACTGCTGTAGCACATGCTGGAATATAGTTATGCCTGGCACCCAAATGTTAATCATTTTCAAAATGTTTTGGTCCACATTAGGGTGGTGGTTTTCTCTACCTTCTGGACTTTACTGTTAGGCTGGCAAATGTCACTTTTTGCAATCCCATCCACTTTTCAATTTCCTGCTTCTCACATGTTGTGGCCTAGAAATTCTAGCTTGTTAGAATTATGGCAAGAATGAGCCAAACTGACTTGTAGGAAGAGGCTGTGAGTAAAGCATGTGGGCTTTGACATTCATTGCGCTTGCTGGAATCCTCTCACCTTTCACTTTTTGACCACATTCTTGACCACATTCTGAAGAGCTGCGCTGACCAGCAAATGGGTACCACGGAAATTAACAAAAGGTGAATTTACAGCAAGATATGTAGGCATCTCATAGAGATTTATATGAGATGATCAGGTTACACGTAACTTCATTTATTTCAATTCTTTGACTTAAAATTTCATATTCTCAGGATGACCAGTATGTTAAAATTACATTCATTTTTAATTAATTTAATGTGTACATTTACACCTAATATTATAGAATGAACATACTTTTTATTGTAGAGAATTTGTTGTACAGAGAAAAGAAACAACAACAAAACAATCCATAACTTTACCATGCTTTGCACTTCCCTATACATGCATTTGCAAACACACTCTGCTGCCATTTTCTATGTAAGTTGACACCCTGCTTTAAAAATGCACCATATCACAATTATTTTCCTTGTTGCTATGTCTTTATGCTACCCTTTTAATGACTACAGAACATTCCATGAGTAGCTATATAATCATTTACTTACCCGTTTGCTCATTATTGGACCTTTAGATTATTTTCAAATTTTTACTATTTACTACAAAAACCCTACAAAGAATATCTTCCTGAACGTAACTTTTGTTCGCTTGATTGATTATCTTAAGATTATTCCTTAGGAGTCTCAGTAGTGGAATGACATAGAAAAAGACTGTGACAATTTATTTATTTATTTTCCATTTATTATTATTTTTTTAATTTTATTTTTTTCCAAGCAACTAGGTTGTCTACAAGACAATGACAATTTAGAACCAAGCCTTATAAAAGGAAAATTTTGGATGGGTATTGGTAGCTCTCGCAGTCCTTACGTACATTTCTTGTTTAATGTAAACAGTGGTTATTTAAAAAAACAAAAAAACAAAACAAAAGAAATACTGCCCTGAATCTACAAGCAGGGAAATAGGGACCACTGGGCCAGGCATAGGTGCCTATTTTGCTTAGAAAAACATCTAGCTTCTCTGAATCTTCTGGAAGAAAGATTCTGCAACAAAATAACCGAATTATTTCATATAACAAATTAGCAGAAAGTCTTCTCCAGTGGGTGAGGGGGATAAGGGTTCAGGAGCCTTGGAAGAGGAGAAGAGAGGTAGGTGGGAAGAGGATTCTTTGGGTTCAAAGAAAGAGGCAGCTTGTCAACGTGCCGAGGAAGAAACCTTGGGTGGATGCATCTTTACTCAATGTCACATAGCTGCCTATTCCGTACCATGATATGACCCCTTTATTCCTCAGACTGTAGGGGATGGCAGCTACCCACAAGAGCTTGTGTTAGTGGAGCTTGGGGACTAAAGGCAAGTGACCGGTCCTTGGGATGGGGAATGGAGAACAGAACAGCCTCAGGGAGCAGGAGGCAGAGTTTACTGGACACAGAAGTCAGGGTGAGAGACAACAGGGAAGACATGAGATTTCTTAAGAATCCTTACAGAAACCGGGGAGAATGCTAAAGCTGCCACCTTACAGCGTGTGGCATGGGGCCTCAAGTGCACACGGATATTGAACGAAATAAGAACTCAAAGTGTCAGTGCACACGGGCCCCGAACAGCAGACTCTGGAGTTATAATGATGATATTAGGTGAAGACCTAGATATTCTGAACCCAAAAATTAGACAATTGGATTGAAAATAAAATTTTAACAGCTTTTCCATAAACCCCAGAATAGATATTTTGAAAGCAAAGTCAGTATGGTGTTTTTCCAGTCCAGGCCCGAATTAGAATTTGGTATGGCTGATGTTTTTTTAATTTATATTTTTGTTTTTATAAAAGGCATGCAGCAGACCATGCTTTGGTGAGTCGTCTTCCTGTCACTGTGGACTGAGTTAGCCGTTGTGCCCGTGGGAAGGTTGCTTTTTTTTTGAGACAGAGTCTCCCTTTGTTGCCCAGACTAGAGTGAGTGCCGTGGCATCAGCCTAGCTCACAGCAACCTCAAACTCCTGGGCTCAAGTGATCCTTCTGCCTTAGCCTCCAAGTAGCTGGGACTACAGGCATGTCTTGTAGGCTAATTTTTTCTATGTATATTAGTTGGCCAATTAATTTATTTCTATTTTTAGTAGACATGGGGTCTTGCTCTTGCTCAGGCTGGTTTTGAACTCCTGATCTTGAGCCATCATCCTGTCTCAGCCTCCCAGAGTGCTAGGATTACAGGCGTGAGCCACCGCGCCCAGTGGAAGGTTGCTTCTTCTAGGAAGCTTGGTGAGTAGATGTCAAGTACGTGAGAACTGGCCTCCACTCTCCAAGAGGGGACAGACCATGTTGAGGATTCCGTGTGTGACATGATGGTCGTGAGTCCTCAACCATTTGTCTTTGCAAACCAACAGGGAGACATCAGGAATGGCTCCGACATGAGTCAAGGCCATAGATAGCAACTGAGAGCAACTCCTAAAGCAGTTGGCATGAAGCCCAGAGATGAGAAGCACTGGGCTAGAGAAACGTGTTTCGCAGCTCTGCTGCTGTACTGCTCAAGTACACGTACTGTTGGACAATGATAATAAGGGCTTTGCAATGTGTTAAATAAGAAATGTGAAAAGTGTATGTGAATCCTTGCTGATATATGGCAGATCCAAGGGGAAATCTGGCAGGGATTGCCTAAAAGAGTCAGTGAAGAGGGGAAGGAGGCCATATATGTAAGTTGAAACCCAATGAGGCACATGGGAGGGTTGACACATAAACAAAATTGAGGCTCTGCCAGAAAAATATGGGGGGATCTGGGATTCCAGACTTTATATTATGAGATATATAATGACAGTTACTACTTACAGAGTGTCTACTATGTGGTAGATGCTATGCTAGGTCCTTATACATCATTTTGAAATATATAATATATATAAATATATACTAGAATTCTAAAGATTCAACTCATTCAAGTTCCCACAGCTAGTAAATAACAAATTTGAACTTAAGTCTCTCTGAATCCAAAGCTTGTGCTTTTTCTATTACATTCGTTTTCAGCCTTTTGGGGTCATTGGCCCCTTTGGGAGTTGGATAAAAGCTATGGGAAAAAGTGCATGTTACCATAAAAACACAATTGTGCACATGGATAGTAAAATTTATATACAATTTGGGGAGTGTTCACAGACCTCCCTGGGGCCTCAGCTTGTTAATCCTGTACGACACAAACTGTGACACAAAGGTCGGTCGACTGTGTTATTCATGTAATCTTACAGGTTTGTAGCCAGATCCACGTGGAGGTGTGTTTTCTTTAATTCGATCATTAAGTTCCCAGGTTTATCAAACTTACTCTTTGAAATCAATTTTTTTTCTCTTGATTAAAAAGAATTCCTGTTTTTATTTCTTGCATTCAGTGGGAAGACTTTTTTAGGCAGGTTTATGTGGTCCGCTGAGGCTCCCTGCCACGGTTTTTCTTAAAGAGAATACCGTATGTTAGGATTGTATGAGGTCTACCAGAATATTTGTCTTATCTGGACAGACACAACCCCTGATGTAGGATCTTCCTTTGGGCCTCCCCTGGGCTCTGCCTTGATTCGTTTATTTTACAAGCTCCTGTGGACCCATTCTTAGCCTCTCTTTTTTTGTCTAAAAGATAAAATGTACCTAAAATCTAGATAAAAGTGAGGCTTTATTCTGAAGCACTTGCTTTAAAATGCAATTTTCTTATATGAAACCAAAGTAACATTAAAAATTGTGTTGTAATTAAAATGCAGCACAGAACTTAGAAATAATACACAGTTTTCGTCTAGATGCCAATGACTCCAAAAGGTATTCTTACAATTTCTATTTGGAAGCTTACCATATAGGAATCTATGTAAATTATTTACAATTGTTGATACGTACACTCTTGTTAAACAACCTAAGTTGGCCATTATAGAGTGTTTGGAAATACACAAAGAAGAAAACAAAATTAAATTAATCTCATCCCACCCTACGATAATCCTTTTTAACCTTTTGTGAATGGGATAGCCATCTGATCTTTTCTGTGTGTACAAGCACATGCAGACACACACAATTAAATTGGTTTTAGCATAGTGGCATTTGTATACACTTCCAAAGTTCTGTGTTTTCATATTTATTGACTTTAAGATGCAGATTAAACTATAATAATACCAAAATATGAAATAACACAAATACTAATAACTATAGTATTAGATTCCATATTTCAAGATTCAGATAAAAATTATAGTACTACATCTGGATATTATGCCTTTTTATTTAATGAAAACAATGTAAAAATGACAACTCCTTTGATGCTGTTTTGACAATGTTTTTCTCCATTTAAATCATATGACCACACACCATGGGAGTTTGGAAGAAAAAATAAAATAAATTTTATGAGAGTCGGGTCACAGTGAAAACAAACAAAGAATTCAAGAATAATCTGTAGAGTTTCACACTGTCATGCTTACAACTTTGCAGCAAACCTCTGGGATTAAACTGTGACATTTCTAGGCTGAGAATCCAGAGCTCCAAACCCTCCTCCTGTTTTATTTCACTAACGTTTGAAGAATGTTGGTGGTCTTGTAAGAGAACCTAAAGAGAGGGAGGAAATAATCAACATTAGGGAATAGCCTAGGGAAAGAAAAACATGATTTCCTTTCTTCTACCAGAAAACATAGCTGCTCAGCCAAGATTAGGCCTTTTTTTGCTCAAGGCCATTTCTTGGGGTGCAAAAAAGAAAATATTAAAACCCTTCGTTTTTATTTCTTCATTTAAAAAATTATATTTTCTATCTACACTTATATATTTCATAATATATACTAATGTAGTAGGATGTATACATATTATGTAGGTATATGTATATGGGGGTTAACTGAATATTCATGCATTTGGGGGATGTATTGGTTGGGTTCCTAACAGATAACAATGCATTTTAAGCACAGTGGTTACTGCATTCTTCATTCTGTGGGGAAATTGATTTGATGGGAACAATAGATTTTTGAGTTCCAACCTGGGGCAGTGTGGGGGATTTACTCAAAAGCTTTTTCAGGAGAGGAGTGTACAGCCAAAATATTTGGAGATTGTTATTAATACTTACCTTCCCTCAAAATCATTTCTTTACTGGAGTCTTGCAAGGGATTTTATTAGGTGATAGAGTAACAAATCCTCAACCAAAAAATGCACTGTTTAAAATTGCTTTTTGACAACTGAACTAATTACAGAATGGAGTCTGGTGAAGGAAGAGGAACTTCGGCCCCATCCCCTGCTCCATGCTAAGTGAGAACACATTCATTCTTTCACTCGTTCAGCACTTATTGAGTGCCCCTCAACACTAAGCACTGTTCTGAGGACTGTGAAGGAAACAGATGATTAAGACATGGTCCAGATGATAATCTACATTTTGAGGAAAAATGAGGCTCTGTACTGGGAAGATGGGCCTGGTGCTAGGGGAGTGCAGAGGAGGGAGCTCTTAGTTCAGACCAGAGGGCCCGGGGAGGTTTCCCGGTGGAAGAGATTTCCATGGGTAATGGAGCGCCAGGCTGTCCTGGGTAAGGAGCCAAAGAGAGCCCTGGAGGTGTAGGAAGGATTTGGTCTGCTGGAAAAAGCAAATCATTCAAAGAGGTGGAATCCCAAGGTCCTAAGAGTGATAGAACTGATGGAGAGTAGACAGGATCAGAAAGGGATCACGAAGGTTCTTGGATATTGGGCTGGAGAGTGCAAGCAGATGACATTTTTAGACATGGAGAAACTGAGGCTTGGAGAAGTTCGAAGTCACAATGTAGGTGTACCACAGACGTGGTCTCTAATCCAACATTCTTTTCACTTTTAATTTATAACAGAAGTATAAAAACAAAAATGCAATATAAAGTGCTTTTCTGCATTATTGGTTAATCGCCATGTGGGTTTACAAGAGGTAAGTTGAAGCAACTAATAAGAATTAGCAGCTGTATTATTGATCCTTTAAAATCAGCATGTTTGAAGACTTGCCATAGTGCTCAGAACTGCAGTTTTTAGCATTAATGACAGACACTGAAACTTGTATGCCTGGACCATCGCAGGTGCTCCATAAATGCAGAGGAAATAAAATCGGTTCTATTTCCATTTTAAGGTAAAGCCTATTCAATTTGAATTCAATCAAGGAAGTTGTTTAGAAGTTGATTAAAATATGCACACACACAAATGCATTTGAAATGAATTTATGTCCCTTAATTATGGATTTGGTATTTTATTTATGAAAACTAGGGACTTTGAATTTCCAATTGACAGCTACCTAATTTTTATAGTATTGAGAGAACACATTGGTGGAAAGTATACAGGGTTAGGAGTCAGATTCGGGTTCAAATTTCGGCTCTATGCTTTTTTTAACCTTAGATAAAACCTTATTTGATCTTGGATAACTTCCATAAGTTTGCATTTTCTCATCTGTAACATAGGAATATTGATACTACTTTACAGGGTTGCTGAAAATATAAGAGATTAAACTACATATAAAGTCCCTACATATAATGGTATGTAAAGATACATACACTATATATAAAGTCACATAGTAGGTATGTAATAAATTGTGGCTATTATCATCATTTTCTGTTTTCATTTTTTAAAAATCTATTACACTTCTTGACAGTCCTTTTGCTGGACAGACTTCCTAGCTCATGAAACCTGTGAATATGTTCCATGGCCATATAATTTTCTCAAGCTTTGAACATTAAAATTAAATTTAGAATAATCCTATAGATATGGATAACTTCAGCTCAGCTGTTTCCTATCTGTGAAAATATCACAATTTATTTAATAACTGATGTCAGAATAGGGTTAAAGCACCCCTACAGAATAGTAGTAAGACTAGGTTTAAACAAATCTATCTGTTTACATTGAATTCCCTCCACTTTCTGATAGAATGAACAGTTTTATTAGAAAATAATCAGTGTGTGGATCTCTTTTTTTCCAGCATATTCTCTCCACCTTCACTACATAGACCCTCTTAATCTCAGGGATTCTTGTCGAGTTGGGTTCTTAACAGATAACAATGCATTTTAAGCATAGTGGTTACTGCATTCTTCATTCTGTGGGGAAATTGATTTGATGGGAACAATAGATTTTTGAGTTCCAACCTGGGGCAGTGTGGGGGATTTACAGAAAAAAAATAGATAACTCGGCAAAGTAAACAATATCTTTAGAGGACTTATCACTCCCTCTCCAGAAAGGGCTAGCAGAGTCATCCTTTTGCTATGTATCTTATTTTGTTAGAGACATAAATCCCAGTTATAAAATCAGTTGAGGACTCTGCTATGTAACTTTATAAACCACATGCCTGGGAGCTTCACGAAGTTTCTACACACTTCGAACACCCTACTCATCTCCCGTTCCTTCGGGAATTTTTCATTAGAGGCCTGAGAGACGTGAGTTAATAGGGTTCATGATCCCCATTCTGTTTTTCCTCTAAGCAGGTCTCCTAAGAGTATTAATTTACACATTCTATTTCAATAGAGACTTCAACATGAAAAATGTCAAATTATTTTTGACATTTATTTGTCAAATTTTTGTCACTTATTAGAGAAGTCTCAGTTGTCAAGTCCCTCTTCACCTGAAAAGTTTGGGTGAGAGGAGTTCCAACTTCTTTGCAGTGATCCCTGCTGAAATTCAGCATTCTGGAAATTCTGCCTGCAAATCTCAACCTGTAGGCGAATGTTACCTTTTAACCTTCAACTCCCTCTTCAATAAAGACAAGTTTCATCCTGTCTGGGAGTAGACATTAGTTAAATTCTAGCAGTCCAATTTTTTTTTTTTTTTTGCTTTTGTATCAGCCATACAATGTCCCTAAGTGGTTTGCTTTTTTAGTAAAAAGGAATTTTTAAAATAGTAATATTCCATACTGTAATGGACTTTTATTTGGGGGCAAGAATCCAAAGTTCTTTACAGAGGGCCCCTTGCAGTTTGCTGGACCTTAGCCAGTCACGATAGAGGAAAAACAGGTGGGAGAACTTGGGGTCCCCCCCAGACCCCCACTTTCCTGCCCAGTGGAGCTGGCAATCTTAGGTCAAGCTGCGGGCCCTGCAGAACGCTGCATAAAACCCCGACTAGAGACCTGGAGAACCGATCCATTGATTTACAAGAGGTTTTCCCTGACCTCATAGAGTGAGACTTGGACCAGAGATATCACCCACTTTAAAGGAAAAATGCAGCTCCTTGTAGCTTCAGAGTTCCAGCAAGTCCTGCACTGTCCCCTCAGATGCCAGGTGTTGGTCTCTAGCATTTGGTCAAATACTCAGTGCAGTTCAGGTTTGAAGTTCAAAGGGCAATATTTAGGCGGAGCCCCAGAGCAGCTTGTTGACTCCAAGTCTCCACTTGCTTCTCCTTGTGTTTTGGTTGCCTGGGTCAACCTGATTCCTCCCTGTATTCAGGACTCCAGAGAAAGCATCATTTGAAACTGCTTGATCTTCAGGGACCTTTCATTTTAGGTGGTTTTCTACTGAGGGACAAGGGGGAAGAAAGCCTCAAATGCTCTAAAAATTCAAGTTTACAAATGTGAAGGATGTTGCCCGCACTGTGACTTTTTTCCTAACGAGCCTCTCCTTGCAGGGAGAGAGTAGTTCTGATTTAAATGGCAAAATCTCTCGCTTCCAAGAAGAAAGGCCTCCTCAGATTAGATCATTTTGCTTCTCTGCTCCACACCTTCCCAGAGTTTCACATCTCAACAAAAGACCAGTGATTAAAATGGCCATGGTGCTCTGCGTGCCTTTCGTTACCTCTCCGATCTCAAGCCTCCTCCCTCTTTCTTCCTCCCTTCCAGGCTGAATAGCCTTTTCACCATCTCTCCAGTGTTGCACACATAACTCCCCACACTCCTCTTCCCGTCCTTCTTCTCTCCTTTATATTACATTTAGTCTTAGCACTCACTACTGTCTAACGTACTATTTATTGTTCAAGCAAAATAAACAGGAGGCCATTAGCCTGGGGCTGTCTCTGTACTCAGAGGTCCTAAGTAATAAACTCCAACCTAACTTGCATGTAAACAAACCCAAACCTAACTTGCTAGTATTTTTTTTTTTTGGTACCACTGTAACCAGGTTTCAGCCAATCACAGGCAGCCAGCTCATCACACCATGCCCAAATAAGGCAAACCTGTAGCCAATCAGGTGATTTCTCTACTCTCCTTCCATGTTTGGCTCATGCCGCTAGGGGAGCACTCTGAACCTCTGCCTCTCAGTGCTGCCTCACTTATGAATTGTTCTTTGCTTAAATAAACTATGTTAAATGTCACTTGTCTAAAATTTTTTGTTTTGACACCATGTAGCTTGAAAAATGTATCATCTTCTCTGTCAGCTTTTAAAAACATGAGCCCTAACGGGCTCATGAGGCCAAGGATTGACATCCATTTTGTGTTTTGTTCATTCCTGTATTTCCAGCACCTAGAATAGTATGTGGCACATGTTAGGTGCTCAATGAACATGTGTTGAATGCATTACGTATGAATGAAGAACAATGTGAGGACCATTTACTGCCATTCCTGGCAGTCCTCAGCCAAGGATGCCCAGCTCATACTTCCCTAAGGGCCACTTGGCTCTCGTGCCCTTCTACAGAAGAGCAGAGGTGCGGCCCAGACTGTCTGTGCTCCTGAAAGCCTGAAGTCTTCTGGATCCTCTTTTTATTGGCCATTGTCCTGGCTGGGGGTGCAACTGGTATTCCTTAGTTCTTTGTATGCATAAACCGAATATTTCAAGCCTCACCCTCCTGTGGGTACAGATGAGATCTTATTTACAATGATAGCTCTTAGCACCCCCTCCACCCCACATAATTACAGGATCTCTATACATCTCACCCAACTGATTCTGTTCACATTCTTCTATGCCAACATTGCCAAGGCACCTGCCAGGGCCCTCGTGAGAAAGGTCCCCACCATGCCTAGCACCTGATCCACACCAAGAGTCTCCTCTGCTATGCGCTGGAGCTTCTCTGTGGGCTCTAGGGGAGTGAGGGGGGGGAAGGCAGCCAGCTCTGTTTCTGCTTGGACTCACAATGTCTTTAGTGACCACAGCTACTTTGGGGCCAGGGTCTATGAGTTCCAATTACACAGATTGGAGGCAAACCCTCAGGCCGATGGGAGAGTAGAGAGCTTGTATCCTCTCCTTGCGCCACTTTCTCTTCTCCTTCCAGGTGCTTATGCAAAATAACAGCCTTCGACTCCTGCACCCAACACAGGTGTTTCTGTGAAAACAGATACTAAAAATTGAGTATCTGGAGTTGTCACCCACATGCCAGAAGTTTCTCGTCTCTGATCCTATGGGACACTTTGCAATTCATCTTCATTCTACTTAGAGGGTCCCTTAGTGTGCCAGCCCACTCTCTGTTTCTGACTCTTAAGTTCACTCATAGCTTATCAGGAGGTGATTCTTACTCTCCCCTTACTTCATGAGATTGTAAGAATTGCCTCTTGGGAACACAACATTAGTTCTCTTAGGGTTTTCTGTAAAGATCTACTGCAGATTTCTGGGTACAAACCTACTTCTTTCTTTTGTTATACTTGGCACCAGGGACCAGTGGGGCTGGTTTCACGGAAGACAAATTTTCACGGACTTTGGGAGGCGCCGGGGGAGTACAGGCGGTGATGCAAGTGATGGGGAACGGCTATAAATACAGATGAAGCTTCATGTAGCTTACCTGCTGTTCACCTCCTGCTGTGCAGCCCGGTTCCTAAGCTTCATGGAAGACAATTTTTCCCATAGAATGGGGGAGGTGGGAGGTGGAGCTCAGGCGGTCCAGTTCCTAACTGGCCACAGACCTGTCCCACAGTCCGTGGCCCAGGGGCTGGGACTGCAGCATAAGCTCATCAACAGAGCACAGACCAGTGTAGCCGTACTGGATTTAAGGCCACTTGCCTCTTGGAGAATCAGTATTCTTGCATATCACAGTTAAGGGTTTCCTGGTAGAGGAAAAAAAAACCATCATCCTACGTTATCCTCCCACTTAACTCTAAGATGCCAAATTATGACTTTTCCGCATCCCTTCCGTGCATTTAGTCCCTTCCCTTCATCCACACAACACCTCAGCCAATTTGTGATGTTCTACAAGCCTTGGATTGGAAAAATATGGAATTAGGCAAAATAACACATGTCCTTCCAAAGGGAAGATGCTGTTTTCAGCATCTTTTAATGATTTGGCTGTAGCTTGAAGGTGCCTATTGGGTGTAAGCAATGGAACTTGGAGATACTGTTGTGGGGAGTGATCAGTGTTTGGTGCTCACCTTGGAATTATGAACAACAGTAGTTCCTGTTCCAACTCCTGAGTAGTGAGCTACACACAGCTACTTGGAAGGCTGTTCCTGCAGCAGCCTGCGTCACTGTGCACCACCACACTTGCTGAGCCTCTTTGCACACTGCTTTGCACACTTGCCCTGCTTTGTGGTAGCGTTATGACTAAGAGAAGCTTGCTGAAGCTTCCAACATGTGCTTCTCTTTGAAAATGGCTCAAAGCTGAAAAAACATCAAGGATCAACTGTTCTCAGAGAAAGAGAAAGAAAATATGTAGTGTTTGTCACTGCCAGGAAAAGTGGCCCTAAACTTTCACCCAGAATTATATACTATGCTTTTATAAAGGCTGTTTTTAAACAGCCCTTGTTAGGTCTCACATGGCAATAGGACAGCCTGCAGATGGATTCTGAGCCCTTTATCCAGAAGCCTGCAGGCTGCAGGCCAGTTCCAGTTCCAGTTCTTTGCTAGGTAGTGGTCTACTCTGATGCTTTCAAGCGCAGTTCGAAGACCACAGGTTTTATAAATAAATGTTTCTTGTGGGAAGGGTCCCTTAAGGTTGCTGCTTCGAGGATCTGTTTTTACTGAAAATGTGAACTGTTTTTATTATCAAATGTCTTTTAGCCTTGTGACCTGAAACAAAGTATCACAAAGGTTTGAATGTTACAAACTTAAAAACAGAAAACCTGCATGCTTCAGCATTTTGATAAATGAAAATGTCAATTTGTAGTTAAGGCTCAAGTTTTCAATAGCTTAAGTGGCTGACACAGATTCTACTTGGAATCACTGCTGATTTATTTACCCTGGAATAAATGCAATGCCATTATGTCTTGGTGACAACAGAAATACACTTTGGCCAGGTCTGTGCATAGTTTAGGGATGAAGAAAATAAGTTTTGAAAGGCAATGGGCATTGCTGATTATAGATTTTTATTAGGAACAGATGTGGGGCTATGGTTTTTAGTGGGAGACAAACTGTTGTTGAAACAAGTCGGCCGGTGACTAAGAATCACATCTTTTCTAGGAGAGAGAAATATTAACAAATTTAATTCATAATCTTTTTCTTTAAGGGATCACCCAATCATCAAAAACAAACTCTAAGATATTTATTTATGCATATGTGGAGTAGTGCACAGATAGGGAGCACTATTTTTATTAACGTATCTCCAGGCTGAAGCAGAAGTTTAGAAAGTAATTATAATAACTTCTTTTACCAATGCACTAAAGCTTCAGATTTCTCCACTTTAAGTTTGTTTGTAACTTCCCCCTGTGAACAGCTCTCTCCTCTTAGGGTATAGTGTGCTAATGCCAGATGATACACTGTATAGTCGTTTTATGTATTCCAGGGCTATTTTTCTCATCCTTCAAGGACAGCACAAGCATTTGCAGTTACTTGCTGCCCAATTTGGGGTTGGGTTGGCTAAAGGGGGAGATTTTAGACACTATGGATCATTTCCATCT